ATTCCCAATAAATAGTCAATAAATATTTAAACTTCTTTTGTGCAAATCCATGCTTAAAGTGCAATGCTAAATAAAGTGCTTGATAAGGTGCTTTTAATAAAGTGAAAGGTGTGCTCTAAAGTGCTATACAGATAATATAATATAAATAAATGCAGTAAGGGAGTCCTCTTCCTTACATAAACCAAGGCAATTTTTTATATGATTTTGCATTTTTTATACATATTTATTTATACAATACATTACCAGTACCTTAAAAATCCATTGTCCAGAAGCAGGTGTGATAATATTAAAATACAGGAAAAAAAATTAAAAGTAATGTAAAATTAAACATCATGGCTCTCGTCACTAAGTATTTAATTCAATACCTAATATCAAAATATGCAATTGAAAATTTATTTTTACATATTTTTTAAGTGATTAAAATCGTGTCCAGGGTTTTTGTCAACACCATCAGATTTTTTTAAAAGTACATCAAAAATCAGGAATTATTGTGGGTAGCTTACACTCTGAGGACCCCTTTATCACTTCCTGTTTGATACACATGCCATGAGGTCACTGCTGTGATAATTTTTTTTTAAATTTTAATGTCATTTATTGCATACCTTTCTGATAAAACTCTTTGTCACAACCATAGTGTGTCACCACCAAAGTCGATGTAATCCAAGATTTAATTATTTTTTTTGTAAAAGGAGCTTAATTTAGGTAGATTGTAGAAGCCATAAGCAACTGATGAAAAACAAGATGGCTTCTGTCAGATAAACATGTGTTATGAGACAAAGTCGGGTATTTTGTCAACACCATCAGGATTTTTGTCTGACGGTGTTGACCCTTTTCCTAATGGTGTTGACAAATGCCACAAACGTGTGCTATTCACCATTTATATTAAGTTATTTTTTTTACTAATATTTCAGATATATTACCTCCTGTGTATCTTACTGATATTTCTGCTTCACAGATGTGTCAAATATTATCAAATTTGTCTTATCTTGAATCTCATTGTTTATGTTTATATTATTCATCCTGTAGGAAAATGCTTAGTCCTCTGCATTTAACCCATTCACTCAGTGATGCAGTGGGCAGCTACAAATCATGTGGCGTCTACTGAGCTAGCTGTGCCTCGAGAGTTGGTCTTTAAGTGATGATGTATGAATCCTGCTTCCGGGCCTAAACTACTCTGTGTTTATTAAGCCTGTTGTGCTGTTAAAATGTTTTAATGCTTTTTATCTTGTTCTATTACATCAGAACAAGCCCCTAAAAGAGCCCGTTCTCACTCCCGAGGCGTAATATGCTGACGATTTGTCACCTAGCGTAAAATGTTACGCTTTGGGGGTGAGAACGTGTTGCCTAAAAACAGTCAGTGATCACTGTCAGCCTAACCATCGGGAACCCTCATGTTAACTTTTATCAAGTGGTAAAAAGTTAGCATTCATCCTCCAGCTTCACTGTATTTATATTATGCTAACATAGCTGTGTCACTAGCGATCATGTAGCACATCACTATATACCAGCTAGCCCAACTTCAGTAACCTGACAATAGTCACTGCTGTTCAATTTTCTGTCTCTATTTATGTTGGAAGTGGTAGCAGAGCTGGTTTATCATGTTCAGGTGGAAACAAGCAATCTAACTTTAACTCTGTTAAATTTCATATATTCTGTTTTCATGGATGCCTGGATGTTAGACCTGGTAGAGCAACCACACTGATCATTTTATTAAAGATGAAAGAATTTAGACAGATTGTAACTCTCAGTGATGCCGCAGAGTTCCTTTGACTTTGGGATCTGCAGCGGAGTTTGGA